ACTACGTGTGTTTCCTCTCCAAACAAATAGCATTTTAGGGCCAGGGATTTAGCTCAGTGGCACCATGCCTGCCTTGCAAGTGCAAGGTCCTGAGTTCAATCCCTGGTACTGAAAAAAAAAAAATTTACAGAAACATTAGAAAAATATAACTTTTCTCCTCTGAGCCCTCATGTTGAGTAATACAGTTATTATTTGATATATGCCCTATATTTTTCATTTGGTGAATAAAATTAATGCTGGTGAAAATTTTTCTAATACCTTGATTCTAAATACATCTCTAGTGTATTCAGTTCAGCAAGAAAATAAACCAGACTTAAATGTGAATGATACCAGTACTCCCCAATATTAGATAAAAATATAGCCTAAATTTATTGAAAACAAATTTATCTTAGGGAAAATAGTAGCTATATGGACACCTGATACCTTAATCTGGTCAATAACCTCCAAAAACAGTAAAATCAAAATACTGCCAGCAAGATAAAATTCTTAAAGTAGCAGAAAACCAAATGGCTTGAAAGGGAGACTATCTGAATTAAGAATTTGGTTTTCATAAAGCACATGACTTTTAATTTCAATATTGTTTTAGGTATGTTGAATTTGTACACTTTTAAAATTGGATTCACATTTTATAAAACAATCTATATTAACTCTTTAAAAAATATTTGCACAAAAATTTTGCTGATCACGAAGGCATTAAGAAGAGATTACACAAGCTGTTAATATGTTTATAGCGGCACAGTTTGTAATAGCTAAATCTTAGAAGCAGCCCAAATGCCCATCAACTGGTGATTGAATAAAGATTTTTTAAAATATAAGAGAGTAATACTCAACCATAAAGAAAGATAAACTAGAGATATTTATAGCCAAATGGATGCATGTTGAGACCACACACTTAAGTGAAATAAATAGCACACACATGTGTAAATACTGAATTCTCTGGTGTGAGAAATGGAAAGTGTAAATGAGGACCAAAATGCATAATAGATATTGTGAAATGGGAAGAAAATGTTTAAAGGGAAAGGAGAACTAAAGGTAGGAGGTGAGGGAGAGGAAGGGAAAGAAAAAAATGAGAAAAGAAGGAAAAAAATGGAAACAAAGCTTTTGTCAATAGAGAGGGGTGGAGAGCTTAAAGGGAAGAAAAGGGAATGGGAAAAAATAAGAACCAAGATATACCATGCACAGGTACAAATTCCCTATGATGAATGTGATCATAATGTACACCTAAAATGTACCAATAAACTTAATGAAGAAAAAAGAAAAAAGAGATGAGTAGATGAAAGAAAGAAAAAATATACAACTTTATTAACTTAGATTCATGCATCTTAAATATATCAGAGACAGATGAGCTTGCATTGCTAATTAAGCACAGGAGTGAATTTATGAGACTGTACAAAATACAAATATAAAAGGGTCTGTAAAATATGCCTTGACTGTCTTTGCTTAGAAGATACATCTAGTGTCCTTGGCGAACAAATTATCTGTATTTGAAAAAAAAATATTTAGCCCTCTTAATATTTTCTGTATCCTCCTCTGCACCCAAATAGCTGGATATTGCTGGAGAAAACTCCAAAAGCATGGTGAAAAGTTTCACTTTAAATTTATATCCATTGCCAGGCATGATGGCACATGCCCAGAATCCCAGCACTCGGGAGGCTGAGGCAGGAGCATCACTGTGAGTTCAGGCCAGCCTGAGCTACATAGAGAATTTAAGGCCAGCTTTCACTACAAAGTGAGACCCTGTTTCTAGATAAATAAATAAATACCCATTAATACCCATTAATCTCAAGCTGTCTAGTCAGCCTGGCCATTTTAGTCACTTTAGTCTCTGCAATCCTAGGCTGGGGTCCCCATTCTCCAAAATAATGTTAACTACTTTACTTCTCCCTTCTCTGTTCAAAGCTACAAAATACTGATCCCTGTCTCTCTCTTCATCCTTCTCCTTTGCTTATCTGATTCATATTACACTAAAAGAAAGACAGTAACTTCATACAAAATCTTCCCTTCATGTTACGAAACCAGCAGTCACACCGTCCCCTGACTCTTTTCCTTCCTTTGCTTCTGAAAGAAAGGTGAAAACTTCCTACAAACCTCTTCCCTCCAAGTCACCAAGACTTAGTCACACTTTCCCTAAGCTCATCCCCCACCCCATTTCTGGGGTGTGGGGCCTTTGCTCTGTTGAAGGCAGGATCTCCACACGAAGTCACCGTCCCCTCTCACTCGCTGCTCCAAGCTGGGCGGTTTCTCCCTCTGTGCTGCACCACCTCCTGGACAAACTGCCCCAGGGACCTCCTGTCTTACACAGAATGATGGACGCACTGACCCCACTGTAACGATCCAACTAGGATTGCATCCTCTCTCGCTTTACAGCAAGGCTTCAGTGGTAAAGCCAGCACTCACCTCCATTCTTTTCTCACGCTTTCTAACCTGACTTCTGTCCTCACTCAGCTGAAACTGCTTGTCCAGTATGTCTTCCGTGACTCCTTCAAATAATTCCCATGACCATCCGTTCCCTGCACATCTTACTTGATCTCTTAGGAGTGTTTCACAAAGGGAACCACTTTATACTTCTAGAGACTCTTTCTCTGTTGACTTCTCCTCACCAAACAGACTCTCCTACTTAACAGACTGCTCTTTTCAAACTTTGCTGGCTCTTGTTTTGCTGTTTCTAATGTCTGGCTGGGTATTTAGCTCAGTGGTGCCACCACCTGCCTCACAAACCCAAGTTCCCAAATTCCTCCCCAGTACAAAAAAAAAGGGGGGTTATATGTTTCTAATGTGTGAATAACCCAGGCTCAAGTCTATAACCATTTGAAAAACTACAAATTTTGTTTATGAACACTAGTCTTTTATTATCCACAATTTCAGTCTCTGAGAACACAGCCAACAGTGATCTGAAATTTTTAAATTAAAAATTTCCAGAAATAAGTAATTCACAAGTTTTAAACCATGCTATGCTGAGCTCTATGATTGAAACTTTCACTGTCCTGCTTTGTCCTGCCACAGACAAAAATCACTCCTTGTCCTGAGTATCCACACTACTTCCACTCAGAAGTCACTTAATAGGCAGCTCAATTATCACATTGCCTGTGGCAGTATCTAGGTGTCTTATTTAAGTATCAAATTGTACTTCACATAACATTTGTTGTAGTTTCTTGGCAGTTATTGTCAATCTCTTGTGTGACTAAATTACAAATTAACCCTCATTCTGGTATTTATATAAAGGAGAAAACAAAATACACAAAATTCATTACTAACTCTAGTTTGGGACATCCACTGTGGCATGGAAGGTACCCTAAATGAATAAGGAAGGACACTGTATTTATCTTTTCTCATAAAAGGACAGTTTTTTTCACCTTCTGAAAAGAGTGTAAGGATCTTGGTGTGCAGCTCAGTGACGCAGAACTAGTGTGGCATGCACAAGGCCTCGGTGTTATCCCCAGCACTGCTGAAATAAAGCAAAAGAAAAGAACAAAGAAAGAAATTAACCCAAATCCCAATCCTAGCTCTGTCACTTCCTAAATGTATTTCTTTGACAAAGTTATTTTAGGGACAGAGATGTAGCTCAGTGGTGCCATGCCTGCCTGGCAAGTGCAAGGCCTTGAGTTCAATCCCTGGTACCAGAGAGAGAGAGAGAGAGAGAGAGAGAGAGAAAATTACTTTACTTTCTGGGGTGCCTATTATTTATCTGTAAATGGAAATAATATTTATATGACCTTTGTAAGGTCCATGATGTTTAATAAGTGACTAGCTCTATAAAAGCACTCAATAAGTAGAAGTTAATATTATTTCCTAATCCTTGTCCTTTATCTCCAAAGGGTGTGGCTAGTCACTAGTTCTTGATAATTCAGTCTCTTGCATATCTCTGGATCATTCTAGCTCTTTCCATATCCCAACATCATCTGCCACCTTGATTATTTTTCAGGTTTCTAGCAGTTCTTCCTGAGTTCAATATAGAATGATATTTTTTTAAAAAGATTTTTAAGGGGGTAGATTTGGCTCAGTGTTTCCACCACCTGCCTCACAAGCATAAAGTCCCGAGTTCAATCCCTGGCACCCCCCAAAAAAGCTCTTTATTCTGTTATTGTACAGTTTAATACTTATGAAAGTTTCTCTTAAAATTCCAAAAGGAATTTTAAGCCCTACAGTCTTTGAACTATAACTACTACAGTTTTTGACGTTAAGTACCTGGTCTTGTTGTGCTGTTCTTATCGGGTGGCTCCTTCTAAAAGTGGTTTGCAAAATAAACATTGCTGAACCGGTTATGTGGTGCTTGCATTTCCTTCTGGAGTTGGATTCCAGCTTCGTCTCATCTCCAGCACAGAATTGAGTGAAATGAGCAAAAACAGTAGCAAAGTTTATTTGAAAATGTAAAAATGAAGAGAGAGAAACTGGTTCTGCTGAGGGAGCTTGGGCCAAGTGAAAGAGGAAAAAGCAAGATAAAGGCGCACCCTGGAGGACATATGACCAGCTGTCGTGAAGAAAGCCACACTAGCGAGCGTTTCATGGTGCCTGTGTACTTTTATGCTGTCCAAATCTCAAGGAAACCCACGAGAACGTCTACATATGGGTCATGCAGGTGGTGCTGGGATCCTTTTCCTCAGGTTGACACTAAGTCTTCAGCCATCCTATTGAAACCCATCTTGAGTTTTCACAAGAAGTCTACACGCAGGGCTTTGGGAAGTGTTCTGAAAATGTGCTCTGGGATCTTGAAATTAGCAGGTCACGTCTACTTCCCCAGCCAGCTTTACCACACCCTAACCTCCTACCTCAGTACCTCTAACTTCACTTCCTGTGTTATTTTCCAACAGACATCCTAGTACTTTTCTTTTGTCTACATCGGCCTCCTTTTTTCTCTTCCACCTGGGACTCAGCACATGGGGTTTATCACCAGCCTGCCCAGTTCCTACCATCCCTCATTGACTACTATAACTCATCATTCAGGTCTTGCCTAGAACCTTATAGATAGGTTTATCACCCGTGTTAATGTTTCACACACACACACGTGCGCGCGCGCTTCCCCTTCTGTAGAAATCCTCACATTTAAAGTTAGTTTTCAGGGCTGGGGATTTGGCTTAGTGGTTTCACCTTCTGTCTCACAAGTACAAGGGCCCAACTTCAATCCCCCGTACCAAAAAAAATTTTTTCAGTCAGTGTGATGTACTTTCTTCAACCTCTGAGAAGGCAAAGATGCCGTCTGCCTAGTTCTTACTATAAGCACAGTACTTGCCTGGCAGATAGCATCTACTAGAGAAGCACCATGAAACACCTATTTTCTGCTAAGAGAATGGAAGGATGAGACATGGCAAAGGAAGCTACTATAAAAAGTGTCATAATTATAATTAAATTATAATTAAAGACTATAGCCATTAATTACCTATAAAGCACATCTGTAAATAAGTACATTCTACATGGAAAAGCACTTTGTTTTAAAACAAGCAAATCTAAATGACATTTTATTTATATCATTTAATATTTTGTAACTGGATAAAGGTAGCCTCTTATTGATAAGATATTTTATACTAAAATGGGAATTTAAATGTTTTTGCTTTTGTTTTTGAGACTGGGTCTTACTGTGTCATTCAGACTAACCTCAAACTCACAGCAATATTCCTGCCTCAGCCTCTGGAGTGCTGGGATTATAGGTGTGAACCACCACAACCAGTTTAAATGTATTTTTAGAGATAGTTTTTAAAACCCTGTTATAATAATGTCATCATAACCTTTATTCTAAAGTGCTATATATGCTCATTTTTATTTTGCATTTTCCTTGTAAAACTTTACAACTGTTATCTGTCAATGCTCTGCAACAATATGACCTCTAAAAGACAACCCAAATAGTATGTTAAGATGACTTAAAACACTCAACAGCCAAGTATAACCAAAAAAATAGAGTAATTAATAATAATATAAAAACAAAAAAGCTAGGCTAGGTAGAAAAGGGGCTTCAGGGCTGGAGATTAGCTCAGTGGTACCACTGCCTGCCTCACAAGTGCAAGGTCCTGAGTTCAGTCCCCAGTACCAAAGGCGGGGGGCTCCAAACACCGCACCAGCCCATACTGGCAGGCTCCAAACACACCTGTAACATTGTAGCCCACAGCTATGAGAGATCATAATTCCCAGTCCTACCAAATATACGTCCTTCAGCCTGTCTTACTATATTACCAATATACTATTTAATGAACTTTTAAGTACACTTTAGGTAAAGATCTGGCTTCCTGCACAGATGTACCTGTAAGATAAAATTGCCAATATAAATATTCTAGCTACTAAACTTTGTTAACTTTTTGATATAAATTAACTTTCTGTTATCTGCTTTAGAATTTATATGTTTATTTTTTGGAGCTAGGCGCTACAATAGGTCCTTAGGTCTACAAAACAGAAGCCACATCCCAGATTCTGAGCCTTGTAATAAGAATGTTATCTTTATTTAATGTATTCATGGATATTGTTATAATTAAAATAAGGGAACATTGAATTTCTTGTTGACAAAACAAGGAGGAGTCTGTATGCTCTTAAACTCCACCTTTGTATTTGGGTAAACACTTCAAAACAAATAGAGATTAATGTTAACATAAGCGGCTTATGATGAATACTTCCTAAATTTGTCTGACTTCTACCACATTTTGGAGCCACTATTCACTAATATTCTACTTTTAATTTTGGGTCCTTGCTTGTTTAACATTGTTAAAAAATGAAGTTTAGAAGTCAATGGCTTGTTAACCTTCTTGTCTTCTTTACCAGACTATCAAAGAATGATGGTTCATCAAACAACAAAACCCACCTTATTTTGTTTTCTTTAGATCAGAGCGAGAATTTTGATTTCTGGCTGCACAGGGCCACTGCCCCTCTCATCCTGAAGCAGCTGTAAGAAGATGAACCTTTGTTCCCTCTGAATCCCTTAAGAATAAAGGATCAGGGCTGGGGATTTAGCTCAGAGATTCCATCGCCTGCTTCGCAAGTGCAAGGTCCAGAGTTCAAGCCCCAGTAAAAAAAAAAAAAAAAATCAAAGTCCCAGGAGGAAATGAGGTAGGATAGAAAAAATATAAAGATAGGCAGAAAGGAGATGAGGAAAATAATAATTTTTAAATTGTACTTTTAAGAAGACTGAAACCTCTAGACACAAAGATATACAAGGTTATCCATATCTGTACCCTCTAGACTTGGTTATACTTGTTTTCTTCCAGGCCAATCACATCCTGTAGTCCCCTAAAGATACTTTAAGTTTATTAAAGACCTTTAAGCTTGGTTGATAAAAGTCAGGAATCTGATCTTAAAATAAGGGAACAGAGTATGATAATTCAAACAATGCTCTATGGCAAAACATCTTAGATGACCCATCTTTTAAAAAATAGACCAGGCCATCTTTTTCACCTATAAAATGGGTCATGATTTTTCTGTGGCCATCCTTTTTCCCCATAAAATAAGACCAAGGTAGAACTTCCTGTAGCTCAATGGTGCTGCCTGCCTCTTAAGTGCAAGGTCCCGAGTTCGTTCAATCCCCAGTACCAAAGCAAAACAAAACAAAAAACACAGTTCCAGAGTATAGTGCCTCTCTTAAGGACCTGTATGTACTCTATTTCTTTGAGTGTGTGCTTCAAATTCTACCTAATAAGCCTCTTTATGCCTCTTTTAAAAAAGAAAAAGAAGAGTATTAAATACAACTTAAGAACTTAAAAGCCAAGATGCTTTTCACAAAAATGTTTTTAAACTTTAAAGATACCTCTACAAATATCTGAACTATAAATAGCTCCTTTAAGAAAATATTCTTACCTTTAAAACCATTTTTGCTGATTCCCCTATATATGACCTGTTCTCTTAGCTTCCTTCTTGTTGTGGTTGTTATCTTGATGTCCCCCCAAGTTCTCTCACGCTCATAAGTCAGGCTTTGGGGAGATGGTTGAATCATAGCAGCATAAGACATTGCTTTTGCTCAGATTGCTTACTCTGTCACAAACACTGACCATCCATTCTCAGCCCCCTACAGTCCTGTGGCTAAAGGGAACTTTTTCAAAGGTTAAAATGTACCTCACTGTCCTCCCTGACTACTCTTCCTTCCACATTTACTTTTGTATCAGAATTCCCTGCACCTAGTATAGAGTGGTCTAGGTACATGCTCAGTTTTTGTTTGGTAACCAAATGAATGCAGGAAAATGAATCCCTGAGACTTTCTTGTTGAGAAATTTGTTTTCTGTGGTTAAAATAAGACCCATAATTACAGATGTGTGTTAGAGTCCTTTGCATACTTTAAATCTCATTATCTCTAACTCAATTTGAGAGGTACTCTAACAAGTGGTTATCACTACAGACCAACCATGTGCCTTTCTTTTTTTTTTTTTTTTATTGTTATATTTTTGTAGTTGACTCAAACCCGGCCCTCTTCCTGCTAGGCAAGATCTCTACCGCTAGCCATATCCCCAACCTTCAAAGGGGTTTTGCATTTCATTTTCTCAGTCACTTGTTCATTCTCTCCAAGGAATGATTTTCCCACCCTCTTCCTCTGGGATTGAGAAAGGTCATCAGCCTGCTTTCTGACCGGGGGAAAAATTTTGGAGTTTAACTGCTCCACATATAGAATCCAAGCAGTCTTCCTGTTTACAGTTCTGCTACACTCTGCTGACTTGAGAATTTCCTAGATCTTTCCAGGTCCTGGGGCAAGAACCAGCTTCTTCTTCTTTACTGATTTCCCCTTACACAAGCACTTTGGTGTAAGCCTTTTCTTTGTCCAAAAGCTCCATTCACCATCCTTTGATTATCAGATTAAATAGGAGTTTTTCATTATTGCCGCTTTTCTACTGCCCTTGTTTACTTATACCCCCACTGTGTTTTGTTTTGTTGATATGAGGTCTTTCAATGTTTCCCAGGCTGGTCCAGCTCTCATGTGCACAGAAATCTTCTCAAGTCGTCCTCCCAATACCTTGCACTACAGGCATGTGCCATCTTCATTTATACCTTTTAAGCCTTCCAAGGGTTGTTTAGTAGGATTTGGAAGGAAGCAAAGATAGACTCATGACTCTAGCTCACCACCACCTTTAACACTGGTTCCATAGCCATTCTTTAGACTTTCATAAATGGTTGTCTTTTAAGAAGGATTTCAGTTGGGGAGAAAAGTCAAAAGTTTGAGAGATCCTTGTTTGGAGTTCAAGTTCAGCCTGGGATACATAGTGAATTCAAGACCTCAAGACTAGCCTGGACTACACAGAGACACCTTGTCTTTTTAAAAAAAAAATAGCCCAATTGAACTACAATAAGCCAAGGATGGCACAGAAGGAGACTAGTGCTCCCTGAGAGTTTTATTGAATGCTTACTGCAAACTGGGTAAGATAACAGCTCCTGTCTCTGAGGTCTAATTACAAGAGCGATCCTTGGTCAGATTCCCTTTGTGAGGTGTGAAGACCAAAACACAACAATTAATTATTGTTTCCCTATCTTGATAAGCAAATAAGCTAATTAAATTAGGAATTGTCAATAATTAATAAATTATTACCCATTGCAGTATAAAAAAGTAATCTGATATTATAAGCGTCTTTCTTTTTTATTATAAGCATCTTTCCTAAAAAAGGCATATATGGCAATAAATACAACATAGAGCATATATAAAATTTCTGGGAACAATAAACTGTGTCCCCAAATCATACTATTTGGTATTTTATTTTTAAATAGCTTGTTCATTATTTCAAATGAAATAATAAAATTAGAACTGTATTGGTCATCTTTCCTGTTGGTGGAATAAATTACCTGATACTCACAATTTACAAAAAGAGGGCTTTATTGAGTTCACAGTTTCTGAATATTCAGTCCAAGGCAGAAAAGTCATGGCAGAAAGATGTGACAGTACAATTCCGATTAGTGCATGGCATTTGGGAAGCAGAACAGAGGAGCAGCACCAGAGAAGAAGGGGCAGGATCCAGAGAGAGACCCCCAGGGCCCCACGACACACTCAGGCATATCCCAGAAGTGTGATGTACTAATCCCCTGGCTGGCTCTTAACCAATCAAGTTAACAATTAAGCTTACCTATCACAGTAACTGAATGTTATCAGTGCCTGTAGTTCCTGCCTCATGGGATGTAAAGAGGTCAAAAACACCTTTTTCTTTTGAAGTAGTCACAACGTGTGACTGTTATAATTTGGCTCTGAGTGGCATGCACATACTTGCTTATCCACCCCAATAAATCATATCTTTATACTGTTCAAACAATTGAAAAGAAAAACTGATTTCATCAATATAAGACTGAAACCCTCACACATACTAATTGGGTGTTCTTCAGGATTGAGTAAGGAAGAGTACCAGTACTTTTCAGCACATTTCTGTCTCTTTCAGACACCCAAATTTGCCTCTATTCATTATTAAACAATTGAGGCCTGATCTGAAAAAAAATTTGGTTAAACTTGAATTATAGGCAGGGCCCCCAACAGCAAGTGAGAGCCAGAGCTGGTAATCTTTAATGACCAAACAGAAAGAAGCTGCCACTGGTGAAAAACAAGAGAAACTACAAACTGCTAGTATGTTGAGGCTCAGAATTTTTCTTTCTATGCAGACTCAGAGCATGTTTTATTTTGTTTGTTTGTTGTTTTTGCTCTTTGCTTTTTTTTTTCAGTTCTGATAACATCGTTTCTAAGAATGTGCACAGCCTCCTGAGATGCTTTTTTTTGGCGGGGGGTACCAGGAATCGAATTCAGGACCTCATGCTTGTCAGGCAGGCACTGTGCTGCTGAGCAATGTCCCCAGCCCCTGAGATGCTTGTTTTTCTTTTTTTGTTTTTGTTTTTGATACTAGGGATCAAACTCAGGGCCTTTTATTTGCGGAACCACTGAGCTAAACCCCCTGCTGATTTTTAAAATATCAGTTGGATATATGTATTTGAGTAGGTTAATTTTTAAGGCCCTACTGCTTTATAATGACCTTTTATGCTCTAACATGAAAATGGGAAGCAAAGCATAGTAAAATGGGGGTTAAGAAAAGAGTTTGCAAGGGCCTTAGAAGACACTGATTTGTGCAACAAAGCAATTTATAATAGTAACAAAAAGTCCAGCATGAGAAACATAGCGTCATGCTATATAACCTTTAAAATGACAGGCACAGGCCGGGAATTTAGCTCAGTGGTTCTGGCAACTGCCTTGCAAGCACAAGGACCTGAGTTCAATCCCCAGTACCAAAATAATTAATTAATTAATTAAAATTAAATAAAATAAAATGAGAGGCACATGCATCATGTCCACTTGGTGGAAAAGAGTGTGGAGAACAATTTCAAATGAAGAAGCTCAAAAAGAAATAGTGAATGTAAGGGCCGGGGATTTAGCTCAGCGGTTCAGTGGCCTGCCTTGCAAGTACAAGGACCTGAGTTCAATCCCGTACCAAAAATTGTAAGGGCCGGGGATTTAGCTCAGCGGTTCAGTGGCCTGCCTTGCAAGTACAAGGACCTGAGTTCAATCCCCAGTACCAAAAAAAATTAAAAATAAATAAATAAATAAATAGTGAATGTACATAAAACAATTTAATGAAAATGGATGTTTATCAAAAGTCACAGCTGATTTAAAATTGTACAAAAAGGTCATATTTTTTCCTCTATACTTGCTCAAATTCATATTAAAGTAGAAGAAAGTTCCTGTCATGGTTACAGTGCTACTTCCTAATTCATTGTGAACCAAGTCTTCAAAGAATATCAATCCATAATTTACCATAGATTAATTCTCAGAACAACAGAATATTTCTTTTCAAATTAAAAAAATCTTTTGAAGTTAATGGACCAATAAGTACTTCCTGCTTTGCCTAAAGGTCAAAAGGTAAGGCTACCAAATAGGAAAGGAAGAAGGAAGTCAAAAGGCGTTAAATCCGGATACAGGCTTACCCTAGGCAGCCCAGTGATTTGGCTTTCCAGTCAACATGAAGGCTCTCCTCATTCTGGGGTTTGTCCTCCTGTCTGTGACCGTCCAGGGCACGATCTATGAAAGGTGTGAGTTGGCCAGAACTTTAAAAAGACTTGGAATGGATGGTTACCACGGAGTCAGCCTGGCAAACTGTACATCTGCCCGGCTTCCGACCCCCAGATCATTAGCCATATATGGAAAAGGTACTAAGAATAAATGGTCAGAGGGCATTTTTATGAATAGACACTTTTACTTCTTTGCGGGTTTGAATATTTACAATGATTAAAACATCAATTTGGCCCTTTAATATAAAAGATGATGGATGAAGAAATAGGGGGATGAATGGGAAACGTTTGATACATTCTGCCTCACATAGGACCTGCTATCGTGTCCTCGTACCACTAGATTGGCCAGTTGCCTCAGATTCAAAGGCTCAAGTATGCTGAGTAAAAGAAACATCAAGGATGTGTTTGGAACTTGGCTCTGAGAGCCTAGAGTGGCACAGTATTTGTTCTTTTCTTAAATTTCCCTGCCATGACATGGGACTTTTCAGAAGAAAATTCTTAAAAATTACATTGAACTCTCAAAAATGGACAGTAGAAAACCACCCCCCCAGTTACTAGTATATAAGGATCTCTTGAAATTCAGCATGAAATGATTGATTCTCACTCAAAGTTGACTATTTTTCATTTTCTTCCATGCAATTCATTATATGCCATGGAGAAAATTCACTTACCTCGTATTTGTGCTATATCATCAGCACTGTACCTTTCAGATTGAATTCAAATATTTGCCCCTCTGTAGCTATTTGGAAAGAGTGAGTGATTAGTTGAATGAATGAATGAATTAAATTACAGAATAGCCTTTCATATTCTTTAATTTGTTTGCCAGACTCTAATTCAACATATAAATTTGCCTTAGGTATTATAGGCAAATTCATCCCTCTCAGAGAAATCCTTTTCCTAATACAAAGCATTTTTCAACCAGACCTGGTGGCACAAGCCTGTAATCCCAGCTACTAGAGAAGCTGAGGAAAATGGTTGCAAGTTCAAGGCCAGCCTGGGCTGCATAGCAAGGCCTTACCTCAAAGGGATACATAAAATAAAAAGGGATAGTGATGTAGCTTGGTGCTAGAGAGCTTACCTACCAGGCATGTGGCCCTAGCACTGGGTTCAACCCCCAACACACACACACAGGCATTTTTACATCAGCATAAGTATCTGCTGTCCTAAATCTACTCAACAACTCTACTGACTTTTCTATGGCAAGCTGAATGTTGGCTGAGGGATGAGATCAGAGGGAGGGTAAACACAGGGGGAGAAACAGCCATTTTAAATGTTTTAAAAAGTATTTTCCCTGGCTTTGTTAGTACTACACATTGATTTGTGCTGCAAATAGATTCTCTTAGGGGCCCTTGAAGACTATGGTGTTGGGTTGGTCAAGGTGATCTGCATTCATAGTTCCAGTTATGCAGGAGCCTGAAGATCAGCCTGGGAAACATACCAAGACCCTCAAAATAGCAAAATATAAAGAGTTGAGATATTTTATAAGTTAAGTAAACCTCTGTAAATTGGAATTAGCTGAATAGAACTGATACAGTATAAATCATTTAGTGTTGCTCTTCATTTAAAATAATTTCTTTTCAGGGGTGTGTTTGGCCAAATAGGAGAGTGATTATAACACACAAGCTACAAACTACAACCCTGGAGACAAAAGTACTGATTATGGGATGTTCCAGATTAACAGTCGATAATGGTGTGATAATGGCAAAACCCCAAATGCTGTTAATGCCTGCAAAATATCCTGCAATGGTAAGATAAAATAGTACAGGAGTGATGGCCAGGACCCATCTGGTTACAGAGAATAGAATCAATGGCAATGGCATAGCCTTGAGGATTCAATTACCTAGAGAAACTGCATCCCAACTACAAAGTGACTTCTAGCCAGGTGTGGTGGTGCACACCTGTAATCCCAGCACTCAGGAGGCAGAGAGGCAGGAGGATCGCTGAGTTTGAAGTCAACCTGGGCTACATAGTGAGTTTAGGGCCAGCCTGAACTACATAGTGAGACCCTGTCTCCCCTCTCAAAAAAGTGACTTCTATCCCTTCAAAACTCCCTAAGGGAGAAATTAATGCTGGGGTATAACAGCAGTAGGGCACTTACTGAACAAGAATGAGGTACCAGAGTTTCATCCCCAGTATGACAAAAATTAAAACTAAAAAACAAACGAAAAGTTGATATCATATATGTTGGTGCTTTTAAATATTCAAATGTTTCTGGAATTATTTATTCATTTATTATAAAAAGACTTATTGAAGACTTATTGAAGAACATTGCCATACCTGCTATTTACTTAAGGAGTTCAGGGAAAATTTGGTTGCATGGGTCTTTTTTTTTTCCCCCCAGGTTTAATTGAGTTTATTGGTACATTTTAGGGATACAGTACAGTTACATTCATTGTTGGGATCTTGTACCTCTACATGACAGGTCTTGGTTCTCATTTTTTCCCCTTTTTCCTGCCCTCCCTTCACCCCCTCCTCCTCTCCCCATCTACAACCACTTTATTTCCATCTTTTCATTATCTCACATTTTTTTTCTTTTCCCTTTTTACCTTTCCCCTACCCATCCCACCTTCCCTACACCTTTAGCTCCTTTCTTCCCATTTCTCAATGTCAGTAATCTTATTAGAATCTTCTGTATTATTGCAGATTATTCACACCAGAGAAACTATTTGGTATTTACACATGTGTGCCTTATTTATTTCACTTAGGAGTATATCTTCAATATGTATCCATTTTCCTATGAATGAATCTATTTTCTCATTCTTTATGGCTGAGTGCATGGTTCTTTTTTGATTGTTTTATCTTCTATTATAAACTGGTGTAAATAGAAAATTATCTATTAGTACAATAAACACTAGATGCCTATACATTTTTAGCAGTAATTACAGGTACCATTTTAGCAGTATATATGTGTGTGTGTGTATATGTTGAAAGGTTTTAATGCGTATTAGTAATTGTGTGATACTTTATTTGTAAATACATTTGTTTGTATCTCTAAAAAAATAGTTTCCAGATAATCACTATCACACTTAAAAATTATTTATTATGGATTTATTCATTTGTGATGAAATTCATTTTACTTATAAGAAAAGAACACACAGGATTTGTTATATGCCAAAGATGTGAGTATTAAAATAGAAATTACATGTGGAATCTTTGGTACAAAAAATAGCTTACAAATATTGTAAATTTAATATTGTTAATTATTTAAATGTTAAAATTCCCAAGGGAAAAGAACAATTTTTGAATTTTTGAGTGCAGTGCATTTACTTTTGCAATTTTTTTTCTATTATGTAATACTATCACTGAATTGGCTGGGGATTTAGCTCAGTGGCAGCACACCTGCCCTGCAAGCACAAGGTCCTGAGTTCAATCCCCAGTACACTATGTAGCCCAGTACAAAAAGAAAAAAAATTATCATTGAATAAAAATTAGAAAGTTCAAGCAAGACAAAACAACACCCAAAATCAGAGTATGCCGAGATCTGTATCCCTTGGTAACCTTTGGTACATATTCCGACAGAATACACACCAATTATGTTTCTAGACATAAAACTATATCATGCCCATTTGGATCCATATATAAATGGGTAAGTAACGTGTTTTTATAAAACTAAGTTTTTTATATATGCTGCTTTATGGTTCACTATCACACAAAATTATTTCCACATCAACAAGTACTAATCTGTGATATCAATAAAAATGTTGAACAGAATTCTACTATATAAATACTATACAAAAATGAGAACCAAGACCTGTCATGTAAAGGTATAAGATCCCAATAATGAAAGTAACTGTACTATATACCTAAAATATACCAATGAACTCAATTAAAAAAAATAAATACTATATAGTTTTTTGATCCAGTTATGGTAATAAGCATGTAGCTTGTTTCCATTTTCCTCTTTTATAAATTGCTATGAATAATATTGTGCATACATGCTTGGGTTCAGTTCTCATTTTTTAGGGTGAATTATTACTAATAGAATTGCTGAGGAAAACTTTACTAGGCATTTTTTTAAAGTATTGTGTACAAAGAGGACATTTTATTACATTATAATTCTATATCAATCAAGTACATAGAAATCAGGCTATATGATGCCCATATTACAAATTACATTTGTATTACATACAAATACGTAAGCAATGTATGTTTTTACAAAAAGTGTTTCATTTTATATACTGCTTTACTGTTCACTTGCCACACAAAATTATTTTGTCAATAAATATAAATCTGTATTATCTTTTAAAAAGGGTAAATAGATTTGATTGATTGATTGATTGATTGATTTATACCTGGGATTGAACTCGAGACTTTGTGCTTGCAGGGCAGGCAGCAGAACCACTGATCCAAATCCCCAGCAGTGACTAGATTTAATATGTGAATACTGTAGCTCATTGATCCAATTCTTACTACTGAGCGCTTAGTTAAAAAAATGTTTCCATTTTTCCCTTTTATAAATTGCTGTGGACACTTGTGTGTACACATACTTGTATGCATTTCTTATTATTTAGGATGAATTATTGATAGAACTGAATAAAATCTGAGTAGGCAACTTGTTTTTTACAGTGGGCAGAACAAAAAGAACATCAGGCCATGTTAACTAGTAATTCCAGAGCTTTTTTTCTCCCCCCGACCCCAACTCAGGACCTTGCACTTATGAGGTAGGCACAGTGTCACTGAGCTCACTCTGAGGCCCTTCAGGCCTTTAAATGATATTAGTAGATGAGAAATAGAATGCTTTATTTCATATCAAATCTGATAGACGAAGGGATTTTTTTTTTTAGCTCAGTTGGCTTAATCTAAGTAAAAATGAAATTCCTATGACAGTCACTTTCACCCCTCATCTCTCTCTCAGCCTTATTGAAAGATAACATCGATCAAGCAGTGGCTTGTGCAAAGAGGGTTGTCAGGGATCCACAAGGCATTAGAGCATGGTATGTGTTAACAATTAGCTGGGAAGATGGTTTTATCCTTCTGATGATATATGCAATGAGGGAAGACTTAAAGACCAGAAGTGTTGCTCTGAGAGCTGAAAAGTAGTTTTCTACTTACACAAAATGATGTATTTCCTCTCTCCCTCGAGAAACGACCCACTTTAACTTACTCAGAATCGTCCTCTCTAAACCCATGATGCATTTTAGGGCATTTCTAATATTTTTAAGGTTCTCCACACTACGGTGGTTCCCAGTAATATCTTGAAATTATTTATAGAATAAGTAAATGTTCAGTGAACATAACTCAATATTTCTCTTCAGCATTCTGTGCTCTACTAAGGATTTGGTGAGGAGCAAAGTATATTTATATATTTCCATTTAACAAATAGTGATAGCTGGGCATAGTGTGACCACGCCTGTAACCCTAGCACTCAGGTGGCTGAGGCAGGAGGAATGCCATGAATTCAAAACCAGCCTGGGTTACAATAATGAGTTCAAGGCCAGCCTGGACTACACAGCAAGACCCTGTCTCAAAAAACCAAAACTAAATAAATTAATGGCAATAACAAGGCCTAGCTATAGCCTATGTTTTATTTGTTGTCCCCAAGTATTTTAAATATCCTCATTACAGGGAAGACAGGTTTTAACCCTTTGTCCCTGTGTTTCACTTTTCTGTACAGGACATGGAGAAATCATTGTCAACATCAAGATCTTACTCAGTTATGTGCAGGGCTGTGGAGTGTAACAGCAGAATTTTTATTTTGCAGCTTATTTTGCTACTTTTACAAATTAAGGGAGAAGAGGCTAAGTGAATGAACACAGTAACATTGTTTCCCTACAAATAACATATTCACAAAAGCAGAACAAATTACCTTATTCCTGAAAGCCTTAAGCTTACTAATGTTTTTCTTACATGCTATTAACTACATTTTTCAGTAGCTGATCAAACTAATGCTGGTGAAAATTTACCTAAATTCTTTATCCTCAAAGGCATCTCCAGTACATTTAGCAATAAAATAATCCAGAGTTAATCTTCAATGGTACCATTATTTGCCAATAATAGTTTTTTTCTGAACAGCAAAATATTATCTTAAAACAAATAGATCCTAGTGAAAACCTCGCTGTGGAGGCATCCGATGCCTTCATCCCTTCAGCCATTTTGTAAAAGTAAGAACGCTTTGCTGAGCAATATAAAATTTTTAAACGGGCAGAATGCCAAACAGTTAAAAACAGAGCCTGTTTAAATTAAGAACTTGGTTTTCATAATGGATGTGACCTTAGGCTGAAGTATTTTCTTAGAAATGCTGCATTTGTGCAGCTTTAAAAATACATTCATAAGGGCTGGGGATTTAGCTCAGCGGTTCGGTGGCCTGCCTCGCAAGTACAAGGACCCGAGTTCGATCCCTGGTACCAAAAAAAAAAAAAAAAAAAAAAATTCATAATTTATACATCAATTTGCTTTAACCCTTGAAAGAACATTTAGATGGATCTTGCATGATAAAGGCTTTAAAGCTGGATTACTGAGCTGTTGTTCTTCTCCAACTTGGAATCATACATTTCAAATAAATCTGAAACATGAGCTTGCAGTACTAGTTAACCACAGGAGTGAAATTCTGCAGATGTAAAAAATATACCATTATCATTAAAGACTTTGCAACGTATACCTTGACTGTCTTTGTTTAGACCCATCAAGTGTCTCTGGAGAACAAATTATAGATAGTGTTTAAAAAGCAAGACTTGGCACTGTTCTACATCTTCATTTACACCAAAACAGCATGATATTGCTGGAGAAAAAACCCACAAGCATGCTGAGAAATCTCTCTTTAAATTGATACCCATTCATTTCACCTGGGCCCTCCAGGGAGCCCAGCCATGTCAGTCACCTCTGTTCATTCCTTTGTGGGGGCCCCACTCTGCAAAACGATTAGGATTATTTTACTTCTCTTCTCTAGTCAAAGCCCCAACACACACATCTCAACCTTTTCTGCTGCTTATTTTAATCCCTCTTTTGCTCTCAACAGATCTTCTGGCCTCACATTACAATGAAAGAAGGTGGTAACTAATACAAAGTCTCCCCTCCCTGTCACCGAAACAGCAGGCACAGCTTCCCCTGGTCTCTCGCTCTCTTTCTTGCCCCCTCATTTCTGGAATGTGGGGTCTTTGCTTCTGTCCAAAGCAGTGTCTCCACGTGTAGTCACCACCCTTCCTGCCCACTGCTCCAAGCTCAGCTGCATCACCTCTATCACTGGACAAACTCCCTCAGTGACCTCCTGCCTTACAGAGAACGCCACCGCACTCACACGTCTCCCTCCGACTACAACTGCATCCTCTGTTCCCTCTGCAGCAAGACACTGGAAAGCCAGTGCTCATCCCTCTCCACCTCCTCACTTCCCATTCTCTTCTCACCCTGTCTAACCTGACTTCTGTTCTCGCTCAGCTTAAACTGCTTGCCCGCTGTCTCCTGTGACTCCTTGGTGCAAATCCAGTGACTGTTCTCTGTTCATCTCATTTGATTTCACAGCAACATTTGACAAAGAAAACCACTGCATAATATTATAGACAGTTAAACTGGGTAAAAATGTCATAGGCAGTCAGACAGGGCTGGGCCTTCGAGGAAGTCAGGGCAGAGTTGTAGTGCGCATTACAACTCTGGCTAGCGGCTCATCTGTTGGAGGCCAGGTCTCAAGATAGACAAAATGACTGGGCCTACATGCTTCCCAGGGGATAAGATAAATGGTATTGCCGGGTCCAATAAAGTCTAGATAGACATCAGCTACCCCAGTGGGTGACCAGGACCTCCTAATCCATCCTTTCCTAAAAGGGTCTTTGTTCTTTCCATGTGTACGTGCTATGTGACCTGCTTCCCCATTGGATCAATATTACCTAAGCAGCTATACCTGCAATCCTATTGGTTGCTCATAGTTTTGACCCACAATGTACCCAACTTGTAATTTTGCACCCCCTTCATGATTTCGCTCTATAAAACTTCCTTTGAGAAGTTGGTTTATTGGCAACGCACTCTCAGTTCCCCTTCTGCCTTTCAGGAGCTGTCTCTCTCAATAGTTTTCCTATCCTTAACCTCTGTGGTTCCTTAGAATTCATTCTTTGATTTTGGGGGACATGAACTTGGAGTATCTGACATCTAGAGGCCGGGAGTTATATTTGTTCCCCCTGTATTAATACTTCTACAACTTCTGTCCTTCGGCGCCTCTTGCATCTTACCTCACAGACTGTTTTTCCTCAGTCCTTCTTGCTGGCTCTTTGTCTGCTCTTTCAATATTAAGTGTATGAATGTACCAAGGGTCAAACCTGTAACCGTTTGATATGCTACACCTTTTACTTATTTATTTACTTATGTATGATTCCACTCTCCGTGGATATAATTATCCACAATTCACCATGACCTGAAAATATCAAGTGGACACAAGTTTTAAATTGTAAGCTACACTGAGTAATGTGACAAAATTTTGCACCTTTCTGCTCTGTCCTACCCAGACAGGAACCATCCTTTGGTCCACCATATCCACATTGCATATGCTACTTTTTCATCAGCCACTGAAAAGCCAACTTGGTTTCAGACTGACTGTGGCAACCTCCAGGTGCTTATATTCAAGTATTTCTTATTTTAATTAATATAATCCAGCCAGGGATTTAGCTCAGTGGTTTTGCCGCCTGCCTCACAAGCACAAAGAACTGAGTTCAATCACCCGTACCCACCCCCCCAAATATATATATATATAAAATCACTGGTCCATTTTATAAGTATTGATTGGTAACTCCTCATTTTTTTAACAATATTTTACAAGTATTGATTGGTAACTCTTCAATGTGTCTAATCTATAAACTAAATTTTATCATCACTATGTATATGAAGAAAAAATATAGTATATATTAGGTTCAGTAATTTCTGCAGTTTCAGGAATCCACAGCAGGTTTTTTTTTTTTTTTTTTTTTTTTTTTTTTTTTGGTACTGGGGAATCAAACTCAGGCCCTTGCGAAGCAGGCAGCAGAACCACTGAGAGAAATCCCCAGCCCCACAGCAGGTCTTTTAGTATGTCTCCATGAATAAGAGAGGGCTATTGGGTTTGTTTTTTTCTCACCAAAATATAATTTCCAAAAGGACAAAGTTTTTCCATTTATTAAAAACACTGAAATAGAAGCAGTTTCCTAGCATGTGTGAGGCCCTGGGTTCAATTCCCAGCACTGCCAAAGGGGTGTGTGTGTGTGTGTGTGTGTGTGTGTGTGAATTTTAATATTTCCAAAAATTTGTGAGGAGAAAGGCCTTTTAATTTTCTCTGAGCCATTTGAGAGTAAATTGCCAATTTAGTATCCAATAGCTCTGAACAGTTTAGCATGTAATTTTTACAAACATTCTCTCCTTCATAACTTCAAAATGATCATCCAAATCAGAAAATTTACACTGACACATTACTACAATCCAACAATCAGATGCCATTTCATTTCATCAATTGTTGCAATATATCCTTCAGAGCAAAAAGTTCTAGCTCAAAATCATGTGTTATATTTGGTTGTCTCTTTGTGTGTGTGTGTGTGTGTGTGTTTGTGTGTGTATCTGTGTGCACACACTAGGGAGCAAACCCGGGGCCTTTTACATATAAGGCAAGCAGTCTACCACTGAGCTACAACCCTAGGCTGGTTGTCTGTTTTAAATATCTTTCAATTTTGATAATTTTTTCAGTTGTCATTTTTTCTCTTGACTTTTTTTTTTTTTTCGGTGAGAGGGTACCGGGGATCAAACTCAGGACCTTGTGCTTGAGAGGCAGGCAGTGGCACCAGTTAGCTAAATCCCCAGCCCCTCTCAACTCTTTCTAATGTTGACAGTTTTGAAGACCAGAATCATCATTGAATGTCCCTAAGATTTCTCTGGGTGTTTTTATTTTTCACTGCTGGAAATGGAACTCATGTCCTCACATACACTAGGCAAGAAGAGCTTTACCACTTAGCTATATCTCCAGGCCTGAAAATCTCCTAAAGTTGTGCTTCTCTGCCAAGAATATGATGCAAAAATGATGCTTTCCTCATTGAGTCTTCTCAGACACTATGTAGTTCTAATTTGTCATGTTACGGTTGACATTCGCTTAATTAAGATGACATCTTAAAATAATCTCCACGTAAAGTATCTGATGAGAGTGATACTTTGCGGCAGCCCATTGCTTATTAAATTTTCAATGTATATGTATGTATTTTAATAGTGTGGATCCATAGCTTCTATTTTACCCCAGTTATAATGAATTATAATCCATTAGTATAATTTATTTGATGTTCACATTGTTCCAAATTTTTGTTTTTGTTTTTTCCCATTAAGTTTATTGGTACATTTTAAGCAAACAGTACAGTTACATTTATCATTGCGACCTTGTACCTTTACATGATATGTCCTGGTTCTTATTTTTTCCCCATACCCCTGCCCTCCCTTCAACCCCTTCACCCTTCCTTATTTACAAAGACTTTGTTTCCATTTTTTCACATTTTTTTCTTTTCTCTTATTTCCTTTCCCCTTCCCTTCTACTTCCCCTTTAGCCATTTTCTTCCTATTTCACACTATGAATTATACCATTTGAACCTTATTTACACTTTAGTTCTTTTGTTTTGTCTTTGAGACAAGGTCTCACTTTGTAGTCCAGGCTGGACTTGAACTCACTATGTAGGCCAAGCTGGCCTCTAACTTGCAGTGATCCTCCTTCCTCAGCCTCCTGAGTGCTGGAATTATAGGCATGCACCACC